TGAGAGAGGTGGTGGCTCGGCATGGAGTGCCGATATCGATAGTGTCAGATCGGGATGTACGTTTTACTTCCAAGTTCTTGAAGAAGTTCCATGAGGAGTTGGGGACCCGATTGCACTTCATCACTACATACCACCCACAGAACGACGAGCAGAGTGAGCGGACGATTCAGACACTAGAGGACATGTTGCGTGCATGTGTTACGGACTTTAGAGGAAGTTGGGACACTTATTTTCCCTTGGCAGAGTTTTCATATAACAACAGCCATCACTCCAACATTGGTATGCCTCCCTTTGAGCTCTTATATGGGAGGAGATGCCCGACTACCATTTGTTGGGGGGAGGTAGGTCAGAGGGTGATGGGTAGCACTGAGATAGTGCTCAAGAAGACTGAGCAGATTCAGCAGGTCAGACAGAGGTTACTGACAGCACAGTGTCGCCAGAAGAGTTACGCAGACCGGAGATGATCCGAGCTTCAGTTCCAGGTTGGAGATTTTATCCTCCTGAAGGTATCCCCGTGGAAAGGGGTGATCCGATTCAGGAAGCGGGGAAAGTTGGATCGCATATATATCGGTCCTTTCAGAGTGTCTTCCAGAGTAGGGAAGGTAGCTTACCAGTTGGAGCTACCTACAGAGTTTAGCCAAATTCATAACACCTTCCATGTGTCTCACTTGAGGAAGTGTGTAGCCGATGAGACGGCAGTAGTACCCTTAGAGGACAGTCAGGTTGATGCTAGCCTGAATTACATTGAGAGACCGATAGCGATCTTGGATCGGAAAGTGAAAGTTCTGAGGAATAAAGAGGTGCCCCTAGTCAAGGTTCAGTGGCAACATCGGAAGAGATCCGAGTGGACTTGGGAGCCAGAGTCCGGGATGCGCGAGCAGTATCCAGAGTTGTTTCCGGAGCATGACTTCGAGGGCAAAGTCTGATTCTAGTGGGGGGGGGGGGGGGGGGGAATTGTAACATCCCGAATTTCAGGTATAATATTTATATATTTATTTTTGGGATTGAATGAGTAACTCGACGAGTTGTATGCCTGACTCGTCGAGTAGAGTCAGGATTGGTCACGTGGGTTTAATGACCAACTCGACTAGTCTGAGAGCCGACTCGCCGATTTGGCGTTGTGCGAGGAAACCCTAAATCTTCATGTTTGTTCCTATTTAAAGGGCCTTAAGCCCTCATTTCCTCCTCCCTCATCACCCTTGAGTATTGTGAAGAACCCTAATCGAGTTCTAGCTTGTTGTGTGAGAAGGAGAGCCTATTTTGAGCATTTTGGTACACCTTGAGAGAAAAAGAGAAAAGCATTAAGGCTTGGAGCAAGGAGAGACATTTGGATCTAGAGGTTTTCAGTGGATAACTTCTGTTTGAGGTAAAAAGATGCTATCTTGATCATTTTTCTTATGAGATCTTAGTTTGGGGTAGTTCTAGGGCTTTTCCCCATCCTTCTTGTATTATTGAGTCCCTTGAGCATATCTTGAGGTTGAAACCTCATATCTGGATTGTAGGAGGTCTTGTGAGCCTAAATGTTGAGTATTTAAAATAATTAAGAAGACTCAGCAGGCACATCAATGAAGTATCTCTCGTCTCATTCTTTACTTTGGTCTTATTCATTTTTTAAACCCTTCTAAATTATTGCTTCATTTTCAATTCTTTTGTCTAAATTTAAAAATCGAAAAATACAAAATTAATTTTTGTTATTTTTCCGGTTTAATTTTTGAAGATTGGGTTTATTCTAAAGGGATTTATTTTATCAAATCTGACGGGTTTTGAGGATTGTTGGTGATTCTTCATAGCTTTCTGGATTCTCTTCATGGTATTTGTTGAAGATTCAAGGGGGAGTGATGATTATTCAAGGGGGAGTTCATCTTTGGAAGGTTATTTTTTATTTCTCTCGCTTTGAAGACCCATGTGCTGATGAGTATCACAATTTAGGGGGAGAAATGCCAAGAAGATCGGAAATCGTGATCTTCATCAGTTTCAATATCTAGGGGGAGATTGTTGAGTATTTTAGATATTGAAACTGATTTGACATATTTGGTTATTTTGGGAAGCCTTTTTAGGGTTAATCATTTTATGATTCCCTACGGTGCCTTTATAGTAGAAGTTCTTAATCGAGCTCTTTTAAGGCATTGGTTTTATTTTAAGGCATAGATTTTATATTTATGGTATATATTTATTGTTCCCTATAAATAATCATTAGGTTAGCTTTTGGTGAAAGCTTTTTACCATATTAGGGTTTTTCTCTGTACGTTCATCTCATAATCAATACACACAAAAACCTTTATCAAATTACTTGCATATGATGGTGATTGATTCTTGATTGTTCTTGATATTCCGCATTCCTCATCTCGGATTTATACCCAACACAAACATTGGAGCACGGTACCGAAGTGAACGAAGGAGAAAGTGGTGATCTTCGATGCGGTAATAGCACCGACGGAAGACGGAAGGCGAGGTAACAATGGTGGCGGTGGTCGATGCAGATTGTGAATAGAGGAAAGCGAGGGGACGTATGTGTAGTCTAAATACGTAATGGAGATGATAACCATAATTTGCGTTTATTTTATTAGAATTTAACCCTCAACTTATCATACTTATGCTGTCACCCCTTCATCTTTTAATCATTTCCACTAAGACCCTTACTAGGATTGTTATTACTCCAAACCCCTTTATACCAAATTACTTAATTTTTTTAATCAAATGGGTAAAAATCACTCCTGCTAATTTTTTTAATCAATTATTGGTTACTATTTTTTTTCAACACATGATATATATAAATAGCTAGTGACTACTATGTTTGGTCACTAAGTCTTTAATTCGGTGACCGCTATTTTTAGTCACTCTGTCTCCAATTCAGTGACGACTATTTTTGGTCACTAAGTCTCTAGTGCTACTATTTTTCATCATTAACCCTCCAATCCAGTGATCATTATTTTTCATCACTAAGCCTCCAATATAATGACCACGATTTTTAGTCACTAATACTTGCTATGACGTACGAACATAATTATTTAAACATTATTCTACATTTTAGTGACGGGTGAGTGACGATCATCATGATAGTTGTCATTAAATTTGTAGTATTACCAAAATTTAGTGACAACTAAATATATGATCACTAAATGATGTTATTACTGACCAAATTTTAGGTCGTCCAAAGAGACTTTTCTTGTAGTGAAAAGACCTTTTTATGATATCCCTCTTTATCTTCGTTATAAAGCTGTATCCTAATTTTTTTATATTTTCAAGCTCACAACTGAATTTCTCTAAAATAAATATTAACTCAATGCTCATTATGTTCATTATAAATTTCTATCCTAATTTTTTAATCTTTTTAAACTCATAGTAACTCTCTATACATAAATATTAACTCGATCTAACATATATAATGAACAAAGAACTAGTCTTTAATATATAGCACTTAAACATATAAAATTACAAATAAATCAATAGGTAACTTTAGCGTTACGTATAAATGGTATAAATTTATCTTGGTCGTAAAGTATTGTTACCCCAACCATTAGCCTGACCAATAACTTATCTCCCCCTCTATTGTTTTTGGCATGGTCTCATTTGTGTACACCAAAAATTTATCCAACAAATTTTCTGTTAAATAAAAATGAATTTTTTTATGAATTGGTGGGGACAAGTTGGCGTTAATGTACCCAACCATTAGCCTGACCAATAATTTATCTCCGGTGAGTAGGTGGTGCCATGGTGGTACGGCCAATACCGCCTACGATGATGGCTCCAAGCACGTATGTTACCGCCGGAAGAAGGTTCAAGCTGGTTGTGGACCCGTCTCGAATGGATATATATATATATATATATATATATATATATATATATATCGCTATTCTGATAAATGAATAATTTTAATTTTCTTTTGCCAAGTGTCACTGTAATACAACTCATAATTAATATTATAGCATCCTCATTAATATTATGTCATGTGTTATGTAGATATATTAGACAACTTATTTCAAAATTCAAATTTAAAATTTCTAATTATATGTTAAATTTGAAGTTATAATAACTTTAAAATTTTTATATATCTCTTAATTAATAATTTATTTAAAATAATTGATTAATAATTATAAATTTTTATTATGAAAGTTAATTAATTTTATAACTGTGTTTCCTACGGGTTAATTTCGTTTTAAAACCACACATTTTAATTTAATTTCGTTTTCCACTTTATATTTCTTGTTCATTTCAATTCAATTTTTAAGAAATGAACATCATTCCTCGACCAATTGCATGCATAAAATGGTCTGAAATGGAAAACCTTATGCCCATAGGATATACTTTGTAGCTATATTAGTAGTATAAATATGTAAGTTTTTCTCAAAAAAACATTCATATATATGGAGTATGATTCAAATTTGAAGAATTAAAAAAGAAAATTATTGTATCAATGTTTGCAACACAAACAATGCTTTAATACTGATGTTTAATAAAAATAAAAGGTTAACTATATGTTTTCTATGGTAATGACATTAGTTGTTTAATTATAAATATTAAATAATAATTTGTGAATGGTTATTTCTTTAAGCATATTGTTCAATGCATTCGTCTAGTTATATATAATTTTACACGTAAAACTATCTATTCATGTATATCAATCAACCATCCAATCAAATCAATACCCTATTCAATGTATATTCACTTATATCAAGTATCAACTATCCAATAGGCTTAATACAAATAGTGCCCACTTAAATCCCTATATATACACCATTATTTTGTTATCACTTACTATAGGTCATCAAGATAAAACTAACAAAAGATATATGATTGTACTTAATTCTTTTATAGTTATATTTTTTGGGTTTTTTATTTTCACAATTCATGTTATTTTTGGTAGACATCTTGTTGGAGATGATACAACATCCCTTGAACACGGTGAGGGTACTAGTAGCATTGGTTGTTCCACAAGATCCATACCATGCGAAGGAGGATATGAATATAATATAAAGACACTCGTGGAAAAACATGGAGAAATGTTTCGTCAAGGTATCCGAAAAAGCTATATTGGTGATACTAGACAAAGTGTCAATGGTTCGAATAACATTGTGCGAGGAGGAGGATGTATTAATAGTTATGTTGGATGTAGTGATGTTAGTGGCATCGATGTCAACAACAACTCCAAAAAATACGTCACTGGAAATGGATACTGCATCATTAAAAGTAATAACGAAACAAACATTGATAGCAATAATGGCTATAATAACACGATCGGAAGTGTCAGCGATAACGGTAATGTCAATGGAAGCAGCGACACAAACGGTGTTGATAACCTCCCTGGTAGCGGCAACTTCGGTCCCATCATCATTTCAATTGGAAACAAAAATGGAAATGGTAATGTCAATGGAGGAGATACAGGTAGGAAGTGATGGTCTTCATTTACAAATTCAACTTTTTAGAATAACATGGGAGCAAACATCATGCTACATGTACATAACTTTATGTAAAGATAAACGGTTTGAATTGTGATCTATTATATACCTCATGAAATGAATAAATGTATTTTGGAGGAATTACGGTTTATGTTGGAGGTCTGGATACCATTTGGATCGTGTGAACACTTTCCGAACTGATATTTCTACCCTATGCCTGGGTTACAAGAAATTCAGCCTAGGATAATCCAAGAGGACACTTATGAATCTAGGCAAAGAAATCGTAAGCCAAATTGGTAGAAGGATTCTATGTTCGATTGAAGAAAAGAGAGCTAATGATCGGGTCTCTCATCTCAAAGAGAAGAGTCGTTTATATGATAAACGAGATTGGGTTTGTCACTTAGGGTTGGCCGTCATGGGTTGCTTTGCAAGAAAGTTAGGGAAATCCGGAATTTAATGAGGATTTAGGGTTTCCAAAACTAACGAATTTGGTTAGTTTTATCATAATCACCCTCACGAATTCGATTTTCCCACTTTGTTCCCATATGTAAAATTCGTAGAGTTTTTGGGGCACTGCCCCTTGTACCCTAGCTAGGGGCTCTGCCCCTTAGACCCTGCTATGGGCACTGCCCCTAGACCCCGCCAAAGGGGTGCTACCCCTTTGGAAACCCCAAACGCAGGGGTGCTACCCCTGGACCCTCGACTAGTCCTCAAACCGGCTTCTAATTCGATCTTATACATGCGTTCATTCCGCAAAAAACCCGTACATATATTAGAGTACAAATTATGAAGCCCCTTAGCTCATATGTTAGTTCCAATTACATAAAATGACAAGGAAAATGACACATACAACCTATGAACTTTCTAGGGTTTACCCTTTTAGCCACTTAACTTTTTTTTGTGGCTTTATGAGGGAACAAATTTGTGAGCAACCTGTCTTTTTAGTCTTGTTACCTAAACTAGCAGGTAGATATGCCACATGGCACATATAAAAACTAATTTTACTAATTTTAAAAGTGATGTCAACCAAATAGTCAAAATTAAAAGTCAAGTAAGACAAACTTCCCCATCTTGTCTCCTTCAGCGTTTCACACAATCAATTGAGAAATTCAATCGGAATTTGAGTACAAAATCCGAAAAAACACAATCGTTGATTTGTCTTAAATATGGAAAAACCTTAACCACGTGATTTGTAAAAACCTTCAAAACCTCATTAACAATAGCATCCAATAAATTGATTTGTGAAGAAATTTCCAAATAGCTCCAAAGAAACGACAGTGGTGGTCTTACCAACAGCAGAAGGAACGGCCGGTGGTGGGACTGAAACTGCAGTGGCGGTAGAAGGGCAACGGCGGCAGCAAGTTTTGTGGGAAACGACGATGGAGAAAGCGGTTGGCGATGACGGAGGGCTATGATGACAATGGTGGATTTACTGATTCGTTTACTGTTGGCTGATTGAAGAGGGACCAAGGGAAAACAGTGGCGGTGATGGAGCATTTGTGGTGGTGGGTTACGAATAGAGGAGGCAGAGAGTCTGCCACCGTCGACTGTGGTGGTCCTCTTCGTTGGTAAAGTAAGGAGACAAGGGAGAGTGGCGTAGGGTGGTGCCTCGTAGGTAGCTCGATAGAATCAGGAAAGGAATGATGGTGGGGATCAACCAAGACTGAATAGGGTGGTTTTCGGTGGTGTTGCGGTGGTCGGTGGCTCCACAACGGTGGTTCGACACTAAGACCGGAGGAAGGAAGATTTCTACATTTGCTCCGACCAAAAAAGGAGGTGTTAATGCTTGTGGGTTTTGCTCCGATCAACAGATTTGTGGTGGATGGGTACAAAAGGGAAAAAAAAAAAAGTTTTTCACATTTTCGTGTTTACCACCATTTGAGCAGGAAGGAAAAAGAAGATAGCATGTTTCTACATTTTCTTAGGTTACTTTCAAGGAGAGAGAGAGAGAGAGAGAGAGAGAGAGAGAGAGAGAGAGAGAGAGAGAGAGAGAGAGAGAGAGAGAGAGAGAGAAGAGAGAGAGAGAGAGAGAGAGAGATATGTGGGTTCAAGGGTAAGGGAAACTCGAAGTCAATATAGAAAAATTGGTCAACAAATAATATGTGGAAAAGGGGTAACCGGATGACCCCTTCACTTTGGCCAAAAGGACGTAATCGACCCGAAAAAAATGACTTCATTCCCTCATAAAGCCACAAAAAAAATTAAGTGACTAAAATGGTAAACCCTAGAAAGTTCATAGGTCGTATGTGTCATTTTCCCTAAAATGACATGGTGGCACTAAAATAACCAAAAATTCTCCCCCATTTTAGTGTAACCCTTGAAAAAACATAACCTTATCAAAACAAAACCAAACTAGTACATAATGAAAATATCGAAATGATTGAATTTCCACTTAGTATCATACACTTGCAAATACTCGAGAATAAGGGTGTTATAAGAATTGAACCTTTCAACCCATTTCAATACTAGATAGTAAAATACATACTAGTTTATTGAATTTCTAGCAAAAAGACAACTTAACACTATTTTAAATTTGTGTGTCCCAATCCTCTCATCATCGTACCAAGGTCAAGTCCAATGTCACACCCTCAATCGGCGGTGGAAACACCGGGCGGTGTAACTTCATTCTTGTATCACAGTTATTAAATATACATTGAACAGTACAAAAGAATTTTATAAATTACATACCTTTATTGATAATAGAAAATTACATTATTCTTGTCTATTGCACATGTCTTAATAGATAGACGTTCCATACGAACATAAAGGATAATAGTATTTGTCAACAAAAGTTCCCCTGTTCGAGTAACATTACAGCTTATCAAGATCCTGAAAATACATGCATTTTGAAAATACGTCAACATAAAGTTGGTGAGTCCACATGTTTTGACTCTGAGTAAAAATAGTACTTTTTCCAAGTTTCAAAAGTATAAATCATAGTTTAAAAGTGTAATTTTGACTTATACTTGTTGGGTTTGAAATGTTGCGTCATTAGGCTTTTAGTTTAGTCTATTTTGTGTACACGGTTTTGGGCCTGTCCAACCGTTGTTTATTTATTAGGGTTTACGTATTTATAGTGCATGCATGCACAATAGTATGCGCGGATCTGATAATTAATTCTTATCTTAGTATCGTAACCCTAACACACCTCTATAGTAGCAATTCTTCATAGAGTTCTTCTGAGGTTGTGGAATTTTAATCATTCGACATCAGTTTGATTCATCTCGTATTCTTATTTACTTTGTGTTATTGTTTTATCTATTTGGAATCTAAACGATCTAAAAGCTTATTAGTCTTATCAATTGGTATCAGAGCAGGAGGCTGTGTAAATCATATGCATCTCTTCTATTTGAATAAATCTTTAGAGTTTCCGCTATTATCGAATCTGTTGGAGCCGTCATTACTCTGCTGACGTTACTCCTTGATCTCTATATTATCCTAACACGATCTTTACAAGTCTGGTTCTTAACAGGTAAGCAAATCAAGTCGTCATGTCACACGACGATTCTCAAACCAATCCTATCAACATCTCGAACAACATTGGATCAACCACGAGGATTCTGATTCTATATCCTCACTAATATGAACTCTGGGCTCTTCATTTTGAAGACTATGTTCTTGGCTCGGAAGATAACGAGTATTTGATCTGGGAAGCTATTACTTTGGGTCCTTTTGTTCACTTCGGAACGAACAGAGCCATAAAGACACAGAAAGAGTATAATCAGCTTATGATCGATGTGAAGGAAGTCCCTCGAGATGAGAAGGACAAACTCTTTAGAAATGTAAAAGCAATGAGAGTTATCAGGTTTGCTCTACAATCTGATACCTTTCGCCAAGTGAGTTCGTGTACTTCTACAAAAGAAATATGGGACAGGCTTAAAGAGCTTTATTCCGCCGATGAGGATCTCGAGCATTCTACCCAAACTCTTTTGCTTTCAGAGTTTGGTGACTTCAAACAAAAAACCGGATGAAAGTCTCGTTCAAGCGTTCAATCAATACAATCATCTTCTTATTAAGATGATTAAGCATGGAATAGGAAGAGAGGTGATTGAACAGAAGGTCACTTTCATGAATGGCCTCAGACCTAAATGGATGGCGGTCATCTCAACGGTTAAAGCTCATGAACAGTTCAAGAGCTACTCATTGGCCAAGCTGGTGGGGATTCTTAAATCCCATGAAAGTATAGTGACGAAAGAAGAGAAAGTGGTGTCCAGCATGGGATCCTTGGCTCTTCTCTCAAAGGGAAAGAATGTTGTTGAAAAAGAAGTTGAGTTAGATCTTTCTGATTGTAATTTGACGAGCGAAGAGTACGCCTTGATGGTTTCTAACCCGAAGCGGTTCGCTAGAAAGAAATTCCCAACCACAAAGAACCGAAACTGGCAGGGAAATTAAAGCTTGGAGAAAGCGAAAGAGGAGAACAAAAGCACTGCTCAGAAAGAAGAAGAGAAAAAGGATAATAAGCTGATGGGTGATTCAGGCTATAATTGTAACTATTGTCATGGAAAAAACCACTTGGCAAAGGAGTGCATGTTGAGGAGATTGAACGAGAAGAAAGAGGGAGAAGATGATAAGGCTTACTACATGAGTAAGTTGGAGGAGATCAAGAAGAATAAGACTAATGATAAATCTATGCCTGTTTTGATTATGCAGGAAGATGTTGCTGAAAACAAGTTTGGGGGAGTTGAAATTTGGTCCACTGACTCTGAGGATGAAGAAGTTCGTAAGCCCACTCATGGCAAAGCTTTTGTTGCGAAAGAAGAAGGTTCTAAGTTCGCGGGTAGATGTTTGATGGTGACAGCTGGTGTGTCACATATGAGAGGCTATACAACAGATGGTGGGTATGAAGAAGCAAAGGAGAGAGCAAACAAATGCTTCACTGCAAAACCAGTTGGAGAGCAGATCAATGAATGTGATCAGCTGATCAAGAAGGTAAACTCTATTCTTGAATCTCTTAAAATACCCGTATCCAACTATGAAAAAGAACTAAATGATTTAAA